AATTGAACCTTGCCCCTCTCGTCGGGTCTCCTAAAGTCCTATCACATCACAGCCGGTCGCGGAACAAATCTGCATTCCGTCATCACTTTGTGACCGATGGGGTTCCTACAGCTGTAGGCGAGCGTGCGTACGTTGAACGTGCCGAAGGATAGGTCGCCCTTTCGTGCTTTCTTCTTCGCAGCCGCCTTGACGGCCGCTGCGGTCTCGTGTCTCTCTCGGTCCACCTCGCGTTGCGGGTGTGCTTTCTTCCGGATCTTCCGAGCGGCGAGTTTCCTCGCATCAATCCATCTCTGCAGAACTCGGTTCTTGCCTGTGGTGTTTTGACGAGGAGGGTGCAGCACTCCCTCCCCGCGGTGCCGGCGGTTGTCTCCCTTCTCCCCCGAGCGGTGCTTACCAACGTGGTGTTTACGAATCTCTCTACTCCTCCAGCTTCGTGGGCCACGCTTTCCGCGACGGTGGTTGCCAGGTGCAGTTTGCCGCTTTGCATTACTGCCGCGGGAACAGTGTCCATACACACCTCTCGCCACTACCACCGTCTGTGCATCCTCACCGCCACGCTGAGCCAGCGCGGCGGTGAGTTGCACCTTGGGACACCACCCGCCTACTATCTGTTGTGGCCTGGTTCGCCCGCGAGGGACTCACTAGGTCGATTTCGGATCCGGCCGGGGGGCAGGCCGAGGGGGTGATTGGCTGTGGGTCAACAGTCCTCCCACGAACTTCCCCTGTCCGCAGGTCAGGTGCTGTTGTTTATTCGTGGTGCGCTGCGTGACAGCTAGCTGTGCACCTTGCTTGATGATAAGGGGCTCCCACTGCTGCTGCTGTTGAGTGTGCGTGCGTGCGTGCGCGTGTCCGTGTCTGCGTCGCTTCCTCAACCCCAGCACACGAAATCGCACCACACCAGTACGGAGACAGGAAGTGAATACTGCTGTACACTGGCCGACGACAGCCTCTGAACGAAGTGCTATGTCGCGTTCCAAGCCTTCGAGAGAGACGGGGAGGTTGGGACCGGGAGGCACATCCGAGTGAAACGCTCTTCTTTCTAGCAGAAACCAAAGAAAATACTCGTGCGCGCGGAAGGACGCGCTCGCCTTCACCAGGAGGCCACTACGTGCTCTTCCTCCTCTCTGCTCTTCTTCTTTGCTGGCGGCGTTGCCACCACCTCTAGGTTCGTGCGCTCTTCCTCCCCCTTGCCTCAATCTGACGGGCGTTTTGCTGACCTCAAGCTAGCCGGAAACAAACCCAACTTTCTGACCCTGTTTTTGTGTTGGCGGCGCTCCAACTCCAAGGCCTTTCGCTGGGCGCTGGCCTTCTCTTTGGCCGCGCTGACATGTCCTCAGCAGACTGCTCTGTGTGCGTGCGGTGGTGCGCGTGATGTGTTACTTCGAAGAAATTTGCTGAATCAAAAATCTTGAACAATTTCCCACAAACCAAGCCTCCCTCGGCTTAAATCTGAAATTTTTGCCGTTGTTGTGGGTACTGGCGAGACTGTCAGGAGCGACCCTCAAAACGACGGCTTAACTCAAAATATGGTCCCTTATTTTCGAAATGTTTTGAGCCCGAAACTGTCATTAGTGCAGTGTTACGATCTAGGGGGCACGCGGGTTGGGAGATGTTTACAGCAAGGCAGAGCAGAGACGCCCACAAGAGAGGCATCACACAGACGGCATACCACACACAGCGTACCACGTCAGCCAAGCATCCTAGACGAAGGGTTCTCACGTGCATTACACACAGCGGAGCCTGGGGTGACTACAGTGCGGTCAATGGACATTTGAGCGTTGTGTCCCCAAGTGTCCCCATCTGGGCTTCCAGTACTGAGCTCCCTCCCCCCTTTGTCCCCCCTTTGGGGCTGGGGGTGGCCCCCAAAATGTAAAAAGGGGGGGCCGCAGACGTAAACCTTTGGGGTCGCGGGTATACGGTACTGCCGCATACACTGCTGCACGGACGGCTGAAATTAAAAGAAAAGTAGGCGGAGGAACAAAAATTATCGTTTTACGCAGAAGAACTGCGCGACCGGCGTACATCCACCAAGCCTAAATGTTTACAGCAGTAGACTATTCCAGTAGCTATCTAGGGAAACAAGATTTGCCAAATTCCGTTCCCTGTAGGCTTCAAACTTGTCGGCGCAATACGCAGCCCCTCCCAAAAAAAATGTAAGACTCGTATCTACGCGGCTCAACCACACTGCTGTGCACCCGCCAAAACGATCAAGCACAAGAACGCGCCCACGCCCACTACAGCATTAATCGCCACCGAAATTTGATTGGTGCCGGGAATCGAGAGGTAGACACGGATGAAGTCGAAATCTTGCATTGACATACAGGCATCATGCTTATCTTCTGCCACGCCGCCGGCAACACTGAGTATTGGAAACGTTAGCTGCTGGTCGTGTGGTTGTACAGCACTTGGAATTGTGCTGCAAGACGTATTACAGGTGGAGTACTCTTGAATGTCGTCAGCTAGATTTGAACTGAAATTGCTGTTGAGGTGCCCCCTCTCCTGCTGCTGCTGTGTTGCACCGCACACACTTGTGCCTGTTGACTCGGGGCCCTTACCCAGCAGCACAACTCTCCGGAATCCCGGAGAAAAAAAGAAGAGAGGATGGAGTAGCGACAGTTANCTGCCACGCCGCCGGCAACACTGAGTATTGGAAACGTTAGCTGCTGGTCGTGTGGTTGTACAGCACTTGGAATTGTGCTGCAAGACGTATTACAGGTGGAGTACTCTTGAATGTCGTCAGCTAGATTTGAACTGAAATTGCTGTTGAGGTGCCCCCTCTCCTGCTGCTGCTGTGTTGCACCGCACACACTTGTGCCTGTTGACTCGGGGCCCTTACCCAGCAGCACAACTCTCCGGAATCCCGGAGAAAAAAAGAAGAGAGGATGGAGTAGCGACAGTTACACGCCAGCTACACTAACAGGGACCTTGGTCACTGATAACGTTGTGCTAATGTCGCACGCAGACAGGCACGGCCGGCGATATATACACATTATTCATTGTTAATGCGTTTTTCTCAAGGGATAAGACAAATACACACATTGTACGCACTGAGCGTTGGGTGTGTCGAAAACGCGAGGAAATACTTACACACGAACACCTCGCACAAGACCGCCCCCCCCGGGTTGCCCAAACCTATCAACATCGTGCCCGAACTGAAGGAAACAACAAATATCTTATTTACAGTGAGTACAACACAGGTCCGGAACGCACACAGCATCCCCGTACCTTTCAGGCAGTTTGCGACTATCAAAGTACCATGCCAAAAAACATCGGACACCCAGCGCGGCCGAAGGGAAAAGAATCTCCCCCGTCCACTTCCCTGCGCAACTGGGTAGGAAAATACAGGGGAGAAAACGCGCGCTCTAGCCGGCTGGTCAGCGTCAGGCTTCTGTTAGACCGCCTGATATCTTGCATCCCAGGGTCGTCGTATTTGACGGATGGCTGCATCCAACGGAAGTGAAGCACGCGCCTGTTTAACCACCAACAAGGATGCGCGAAATGTGGCATTGAAATATGGAGTACGAACAAATCATACCACAGAGATCTTTCCCTACGATGTGGAGATCTGACGTGCAAGAATGCCCGGCACGACACCCCCAATCCCAAGCCAGGTCTCTCAAGGAACGTTACATGCACCTACCTGAAGAAGTTGCCAGATCTCAACTCCAGGCGTCGGTGACGAGATCCGCAACACCATCATCTGTGTCTCCGGCACTCCAGCCAAGGTCGTCGCTCTTCCCGCTCAACCTGTCAGGTTCCCCATCGCTGGACCCAGATTCGTCCAANCTGCATCCAACGGAAGTGAAGCACGCGCCTGTTTAACCACCAACAAGGATGCGCGAAATGTGGCATTGAAATATGGAGTACGAACAAATCATACCACAGAGATCTTTCCCTACGATGTGGAGATCTGACGTGCAAGAATGCCCGGCACGACACCCCCAATCCCAAGCCAGGTCTCTCAAGGAACGTTACATGCACCTACCTGAAGAAGTTGCCAGATCTCAGTTCCAGGCGTCGGTGACGAGATCCGCAACACCATCATCTGTGTCTCCGTCACTCCAGCCAAGGTCGTCGCTCTTCCCGCTCAACCTGTCAGATTCCCCATCGCTGGACCCAGATTCGTCCGAATCCAACTTGATCAAATCGTCGAGCGCACCGACCGAACCGTCGCCGTTCTCGTCCGTCTCGGGGTCCTCCAGTTCTTCTGCGTTCTTCGATTCCGCGGCCTCGCCGGAGGAAATGTCGTCGCTCGCAGGTGACTCAGGGGTCCCCGCATCCACACCGTGCTGTTCCGCTTCGTGCGATTCCTGCCGCTTCATAGAGGCCAAAAAGAGTGCCATGGTGTTGCCAACACTACCGGATAGCCGTGGTCGAGTCTCGATGGGTGGTAGGGGTCGGGCGGCACCCTCGATCGACCCAGTTTGACGAGCACCCACCGTAGGCCGGGATGCAGACCTCCCCGCTGCTCGCACCGGTGCCGGCGTCGCCCGACGTTAGGTGCAACGACCTCTGCAGCCGCAAGCGAGCGAGCACTTCCTGTCCTTGCACCTGCACCTGTTGCACAGGGTCGTCTCCGGATTGCAACCACACGCTAGCGTGATTTTCTTTAGGTCTGGGCCGATGTTAGAAAACTCGGAGAGGTCAAGCACGCAGTCCTTGACTGTGAGTTCGACGCCGTCGTTCCCCTTCCCTCGTGGGTCGACGCTCCATCCGTTGCCGGCAAACTCTGTCGCCGGCATGGCCTCTCTCAGGCCATTCTGCCAGTACCGGAAGATGGCATTACCCCGTTCGGCCTGCTTGCGCAAGGAATAGTATGACGGACAGGTGGCGGTCGTCTTCTTCTTGGGGAGTTGGAGGATGGCGTAGCGGATCACGCCCACGTAGGCCTCGACGTCGCCATCGACGCTTTGGACCACCTGGGCTGGAGTGAAATGAGCAGTGCCAAACGCCGCTTCATCCTTGTAGAAGAACAAGGTGTTAAAAACTACGCGCATTCATCGACATCCACGGCCCACGTTCCGTCCTGGTCTTCGAGGNGAAGATGGCATTACCCCGTTCGGCCTGCTTGCGCAAGGAATAGTATGACAGACAGGTGGCGGTCGTCTTCTTCTTGGGGAGTTGGAGGATGGCGTAGCGGATCACGCCCACGTAGGCCTCGACGTCGCCATCGACGCTTTGGACCACCTGGGCTGGAGTGAAATGAGCAGTGCCAAACGCCGCTTCATCCTTGTAGAAGAACAAGGTGTTAAAAACTACGCGCATTCATCGACATCCACGGCCCACGTTCCGTCCTGGTCTTCGAGGAACAGCGGCTTGTCAAACAAACCTTCCGTCCGCACACTCTTAAGGACGAGTACCCACATCTTGTCGAACGGCAGCCCGGAAATTGCCGGGAGGTAGTCACAGCCCGACTCCAGGAAGGTTAGGACGAACAAACGGACCTTGTCGTCGTCTGTGGGAATCCAGTTCCCGAAGGTCAATGGCGGCCACGCGGACTCGCTTCCGTCCTGGAGTTCGCAGATGCACTCTGTTCATCCACAGGAACTTGGTCTCGCCACCCACGACCCTCTAGACGGTCACATCAACCGCCCTCTCGCCACGGGGCGTGAGCCAACCAGTGGTCATCGCCAGTAGAATGATCATCCATAGGTCCGTGTCTGCCGATGAAACGAC